TCTTGCTGTTCTTGGTATTTATTATTACTATTAACATAACGATAATATAATTTTAAAATGACAAGCCTAGGCTAGTGAGACTGTGATGCTTTGTTGACGATGCTTTTAAAATACTGTAAAAACGTTACTTGAGCACTGATGGAGATAATTCTGCACTGCGAACGATTTAAGCATTGCGATAATTCTTCCGTATCGTTCATCGCTTCGTCACCATTTATCACTTGTGCACCTTAAATTGCTGGTAGAGAGAATGCTGCAACTGTCTAATCTACTAAATATCACAGCCAAGCTTCTTTATCCAGTAGCGCTTGCTTAAATTTCCCGTTTCAGCCAAAAATCATTGGCGACGCGGACTGGGGGGCCCCGTATGATCATGCGTTTTTGCAGTGTTTCATGCTGTAATAAGATTACTTGAAATTCCGCTAGCTAAAAACCTCTTGCACATACTAGTCCTCGAATTTCGGGAACTTGATTATCCACGCTATGGCTAGACAGGGAGCATTCCCTTGAAATCCCAGGCTGCCAGCTTTCTTAGTTCCCGAGTTACCCAAATTGCTGCTAAAAAATTTCACGGGGCCATGCGTAGCCATAACGGGCGGCTGAACTTGATAAATTGAAGTTGTAGACGAGTTGGGAGCATTTCCTGAAAATTTTAGTCTCCAAGCTTCCCTGGTTCTGGAGTTATTCGTTTTCCCGCCAAAAATTTTCACGGGCTTGTACGTGGCAACCACGCATGGGGGAGGCTGAATTTGATAAATTGAAGTTCTAGATGAGTTGGGAACATTTCCTGAAAATTTCAGCCTCCCAGCTTTCTTGGTTCCCAAGCTAGCGATTTCCGCGACAGGAACCTTCCGCGAGGGGAGGAGGGGGGAGGGACGTACGCAGGAACCACGAACCCCCGAGGGCTGAATTTGAAACCTTCAAATTCTGTAGGGACGGGGAACATAACGTCAAAGCTTCAGATTTCTATCTTTTCTGGTTCCCGAGTTAACGGTTTTCCCGCCAAAACTTTAACCCCCTCATATGCGGGACCTAGACGCGCTTGAAGGTTGGTGCCGCAGTCCTGGGGTGGCACTTGGGTGGGGAAACCAGTGCCAAAATTTCGGCGCCGGAGCTTGCCTGGGTGCC